CAAGTGGTATGTTTTGAATTTATTAATTGATATGCAATATGTGATGTTACTAATGTATTTTAATGCATAGATCAATCAAGAAGGCACACCAGAGAGCTCTATATCATGGGCTAGACTCTTTATATTAGGCCAGACTAACAAAGATGGTGACTATATAAGTGAACATGTTTGAGAACTTGCTAACATGTTAATAACTGCTATTTTAATAAATTGTGATTTCCAAATTATGATAAATAGAGTGTCATCTCAGAAGAAATTTCTAAAGGCGAGCTTCCCCAGGATGAAGATGTCCTAGAAAAGGCATTAGGAAATCATGATATCCAAGTCATGTTAGGGGTGTTGGCATGGGGATCTTGAGGAAACAAATAATGGGCAAAAAGAAGACTCCAAAAGATGTGCCTTCTTCAATTGAGTTTAATGCTCTAAAACAACAAGTAAAACATGATTGAGGTATTACTTAAGGCTAATGATTCTAGGAAGTCACCCTTTAAGCACATTAGCCCCAGCAAGATAGATAATTGCACTGTGGCCTAGCCATCTAGTCAAATTCCTAAGATATATATTATTTTTATTCCTTAACTTTAGTTTACAATTATTTTATTAACTTATACTTATTTTTATTTAGGGCGAGCACAATTGATTTTTCATGGCAAATAGCCCTGGTAGACACAAAGTGGCAAGAGGCCTTGTGTTTAATATCTTTGAGGAAAATACCATACACAATGTGATGATGCCTGCAGACTATTTGCAAGGGTTGATTCTTGAACCCATTGATGCCAACTACCCATTGCCCATTCCTACCTTAGAAGCATTCACTGTTGGAGAAGCAAGTGGCAACTTTATTGCATGGCCTAGGGTTTACTTCTATGTAGAAGATGAAGCACAAAATTGATAACAGGTATGCTAGTTACCTATTTATGTATATATTACCTATATTGGTCTCTAACTATATAATTGGTGTGCAGTCCAAAGGGAAAAGCATCACTAAACAATCAGGCCAATTATCTAAAGTTAAGACACCTAAGCCGAACTAACTACCAAAAACCTACTATAGGGCACTTGAGGCATATGCAAAGTTGTTTGCTAATTCTACAGTGCTTATTAACTTTGACCAGAGCATGTACGGTAGAGAATAATACGATATGATTAGGGTTGAAATAGTCAACAAAGTCCTCAAGTGCATTTCGATTAGCCAAAATGTGGTTCATTTTTATGAGGTACACATTGTTTATATAAATTTTTACTATATTTTAAATTTAATATAATATAATAATTTGTTTATTTTTTTCATTTAGGTACCTATGTGAAATTTTACCATCCCTGGTGATCTTGCATCAAAATTTGTCTTTGTTTGTCCTCATGATGTGTCTGCTCATTACAATATCACCATCGAGGTGTGGCATAGCCAAGCTCAAACATTAGCAAGGTACTTTGAGACAAAGACCCCTACTGTGAGGACATTAATTCTGGTACCTTATGTACAAGGGTGAGTTCAGTAGTATCTTAATTAATTTATCTTGTCATTTTAAATTTCATGACATGTGCTTTCAAATTATTTTAGGAGCCATTGAATACTAATCAACATTATACTGATTGCTATTAAAACTATAAATTTTACTATCTAGATTTTGTTAGTGGGCAGCCAGATAATAGACCAGACATGATGAAAATATTTAATTTGTAAGTTTATATTTTGATTAATTATATTTTTTCATTTTAAATTTTTAATTTCAACTTATTTTCTTTCTTATTAGGGCTGTAGTACTTTATCACACCGAAAAGAACTTGCTTGTACCATCAAGGTATAAGTCATATAATCTGGCCTACCCTAATTGGAAGATATAAAAATACTTATCACTACTAATTTTAATAATCAATTTTAATTTTCTAATTAATTCAATAATATGTTTATTGGTTTTTCTATATAGTGTTCACGACAAATAACATATAGCGAGGATTGTGGATATTGCGTCATGAAATTTTTTAAAGACATCATCACTCATGGGACGACTATAATCTTTGCTATAGTATGTATGTTATTTAAATTCAATTATACGTAATTATGAATTTAAATTTGCTGAAGTAAGTAACTTTGTTGTCATATTACATTATTGCAGTATTATCTCGATTCATAATGTGCAGTATTTGAGGATCGTCACACAAATGAAGTTATTAAGAAATGGTGTGAGTACATTTTCCAACTGTGGGCCAAAAATAAGTGAACTACACATTTTTATTTTAGTTTTTCTCATTTAGATTTTATACTTTAGAATAATTTTAGTTTAGTATAGCAAACAACTTTGTTTTACTTAGTATTATGTTGAGCAATTGTATAGGAAACAAATTTTTTTTATTTAAATAAAATTGTTAGTTTACTATAATTGAATTTAGTTCAGTATAATTATGGATTAGACTGAATTGGATTAGAGTGGTTTGTATTTGCATCATATGGTTATGGGGGGCTACAAGGAATGCATCTAGCATATTTAAAAAAATCAATATATTGAATAGTTATTCATGATAACTGTCCAATATAATGACCATATTGGATGGTTGTGGTCACAACCGTCCAATATTAGACAGTATATTGGATGGTTATCATGATAACCGTCTAATATAATTTATATATTGGATGGCTATGGTAGATAACTATTCAATACATACTTTACCTAGCACCACTTATTCTGACAACATATTAGACGAGTCTTTAAACCGTCCAATATTATAATATTGGACAGTTCTAATAACCATCCAATATTTATTTTATTAATATATGATAGTGTCATATTAGATGGTTCATAACCATCTAATATAGGCAAAAAAAAAAAAAAAAACCATCCAATATTCCCTTTTTTTTACAATGGTGATACCTATTGCCATAGCTGAGTTCAAAGCCAATGGTTATGATGTGAAACTCAGCAGGATGAAGAACCAAGCAAGGATATATAAGAATATATTCAGAGTCAATTGATGCAGTGAATATCATCTATCAAAGGGTACATAGCTCCCATCCTTTTACGCAGACATTACTGCAGTGCGAGCAATCATTTTTGCACAAGATGTCAAGCTTTCCCATGCTCCTTGTGAAAATGAACTGTGCAGATCACTTGGCTAGATTAGAGCAAGAATCTTTAATGAATGGAATCAAATCGAGGCTATCCTTAGGGGATGAGAACCTCTACTTTGTTTTGATATTAGTCGTGATATTTCCCAGAGTGTTTAATCTGGTTGTATTTCTAATTTCTAGCTCATGCTAGCTTTTTTGAATCAAAAAAGAAAAATGATTAAGGCCTTCTATGATTGCAATGACTTGGGCTTCTGGTGGGAAAACGTATAGCCAACTTGTAACTAATTCACTAATTGAGGTTAGTTCTAGTGGAAGATTCAAATTCTTATTAGAAGAGATACTTACTTTTAATTTCGATTGTAGTTCGAATAGGATTGCTTTTAGTAGGAGGATGCTTATGAACAAAAAAAAAATTGCAACTAATTAAATCTAATCTTCTCATGAGCCAACTTGCTCGACTATTAGTTAAATCCACCAGAATCACAACACACACACACACAAATATGAACTAGAAATGCATTACAGTCCCTCTGGTGCTCACCAGAACTGAAAAAATAAAAAAAAGTTAGTTTAATGAGTAATATAAAAGTTATTTTGGTGTCCATTATCCTAACCTTGAATAAATACAAATATTTTAATTAATGTTCCATCAGAAACTTTTAAAAGGTAAAAAATGACTTGTAGTTTTGAACCGCACAACTTCTTTGAAAAATATTAAATAAAAAAGGGACTTAAAATAGTGGATAAAAGGACTAGAATAAATGTTGCTCCCATCATTTTATAAATCGCTTTCAAGATTCTCGCCACAATCAATGACACTTGAACTCATCAAAGGTTCTAACTAAGCTTGTAACACGCAGGTTATTCTCCTTGACGGTAGCATTATAACTAAAGAGAGAAGACAAATCTTTGGCTTCCACTTAATTATTTGTGCCATCAACAACTTGATTCCAGTATCATATGATGACTAAGAAATTCATACTGAATATTCAATATTCTAATCTCTCGACCTCCCATGTAACGCGTAACAATCACATGCCTGAACTATAGTTGCATTGACTTGGGTCGTTCAATGCATATAAATTAATGGGGAGGCTACAGCTGGTAGCCACACTATCAATTTAAATGTGATGCTTATTCATCAGATGCAATGCATTATATATATATGTGTGTGTGTGTGTGTGTGAATATAAATCATGTCTAGTTTTAAACAATGAAGAACAAATCAAAATACACTGATGCTTGTAGCATTATAACCAAACATAGAAGACACATTATAACTAGGCATTCTGCTAAAATATTCATATCATTTAATGCAGTGCCATGATCGATCACATGCTAATGTCTTCTGAATTGTTATAAAAAAAAAGGAAAAATTACATATAGGTTCTATGGAACACACTTATTTATAGATAAGTCCGGCAAAATTCAGAAACAATAACCAGATTCCCGAGACTTGAGTGTAACTAGAAATTGAGATTCGAAGACAATAATACCTTTATTAAAAATACATTATATTAATTAAATAATTTACAACTATTTCATCAATACTTTACAACTATCATTTTAATATTTTATAACTGCAACTTCACATATTTAATAGTTAAACCGATCATACGTTACTAATAAAATTTAACACTAATTATTTACAACTATCTTATCAATAATTTACAACTATCACTTTATTATTTTTACAACTGTTGCTTCAGTATTTACTATTATCTTTGTACCCCAATTTCAACTTACCTCAAGATTTCAAGGGACATTGCTGTGGTTTTTTTATTTTGTGGGACTCATTGTAAATAATTTGCTCGATGGGATTTACACATAATTTTTCCTAAAATAAATGACTTCATATATGATGCAAAGGCCAACCACAGTTAACCTCACAAACATTTTGCGCCTTGCATAATTGATTATAGCGCTAGTTGTAATGAGCAATCCGGATGATGTAGAAATTCATACGGAAGAGAACCATTCAGACTGGAGGTCTCAATGTGGCAAAGAGATGCGTGAACTGATGGAGAAGAAGTTCAGCTGGTCACATGATGATAAGAAGCAGTCAACTGGAAGCATGATGTTAGTGATGCCACAATTTTCAACCGTGTTCTATAAATTGTACAAGGCTGTTTGTGATCGGGAAAAAGATGCAGATGGCTTTGTTTCACTCTTGAAGTCAGAATGTACAGTGAATAAAGTTGATTTGGCCACCCTTTTTAATAATGTCACTCCCACTGGTGATTCGTTGCTTCATGTTGCAGCTGAGTTTGGTAGAGAAGAAGTTGTGGAGCTGATTGCTTCTCACTATCCCAATCTTCTGAGTAAGGGAAATAAGAAAGGTGATACTCCACTTCATGTTGCTTCGCGAGCAAAGAATATTGAAGCGATCAATGCTATTCTCCTGGTTATATCAAAGAAGGCCGAATTGATAGATAAAGCCGAATTTCTAATGTTGAGAAATAATTATCAGAGGACAGCTTTGCACGAAGCTGTTTTGAGCGAGCATTCAGATGGGGTGGTTCTGCTTTTAAATGCGCATAGGAGAAGTGTTTTGGCTGCCTATTGGACTTGGAACAAGAATTATGGATGCAAATCACCAATGTATTTGGCCGTCACGACAAAGAATATGGTGATTCTTGCTTGTCTCCTAGAGAAAATTGCAATTCCTTCAGATCACCAGGCCATTTCAAGCGGAGACTCTCCGCTTCATGCCGCGATATTAGAACGAAATACTGGTCAGTACATGTATCTATATTTACTCATAAATTATAACATGCTTGATGCTTTTGATCAGTTTGATTTTCTTGCACCTAATATGTGTTTGTTTTTGGGTGAAGAACTATTGAAATACATAGTGAGGGAAGGACCAAAAGAGCTCATGTATCAAAAAGATGAAAGACAAAACACTCCCTTTCATTATGCAACATACGCTGGTTTCTTGGGAGGTGTTCATATCATGTCAAAATATTCTTCTCCCTTTTTTGCTTTTCAGCAAAACTTAGACGGCAATCTTCCGATCCACCCGCCTGCGAAAAGGGCCATGTTCAAGTGGTAAAAAATCTGCTTGAAATTCCGTGGTCTGATGCTGGATTTTGCCTGAATAATGAAGGACAAAACATTCTTCACGTTGCAGCAATCAAGGGACACACAAATGTGATAAAATGCTTACTGGAAAATCCTAAGATTCATCCTCACACTGTCAATGAGAGAGACTTGTATGGAGATACCCCGCTGCACCTGGCTTCAAAAAACCTACGTCTTTGGACTCTGCTCCTTCTTTCACAAGACAAACATATCAATGCGAATCTGGTCAATAATGAAGGTTTAACAGCACGAGACGTTGTTTGGATACGATGTAAAACTCCAATGACACGTCAAGAGGTATATATGATTAATGCGTATCTATGATCAGCTGTGTCTTCTGATTTTATAGAAGAATATAAGGTTCGTTTTCTTGCTGAAAGGATAGGAAATGGAATGGATTGGAGAACCAAAGACAAAAATAAAATGAGCAATATGTAAATGAGAGATATGTCAATCATGTTCATAACGAGAGAAGCGTAATTTAATTCATAAGGTTGAGAGTCTTGATTTTTGCATAAAAGTTTGTGAAAGATATGATGATTCCTACATTAATAATATTTGGTATTGGGTTTTATTATATTTATCATGAAAGAGAGGATAATTTAATTTTATTTTATTTTTTAATTTATTTCATTCACATCCTTTCTGGCCACCAAACAGCTCTAAAGTATGCAACGCGTACTTGTTTGATTCAATTATAATGCAGTTCTTAGCGGATGTGATTTTAAGAAGAGCTGGGGTGCTGCTCAAGGCAAATATGCTAGGTGTGCCCCGGGAAGTATCAGCCAATGAAGATTGGAAAGTGAAAGACGCAGCTGAAACACTCATACTTGTGGCCATATTGATAGCTACAGTGACATTTGCAGCTGCTTTCACGGTACCAGGTGGGTTTTACTCTTCTGATGACCCAATCACAAAACAGAGAGGCTTGGCACTTTTGACTCACCAAACACTATTCAAGATATTCACGGCTTTCAACACAATAGCTATGTACAGCGCCACCATTGGTTCTGCTATTCTTCTCAAGGTCCCGCTGGGTGATCTTCGTTTTGCAGAAAGAGCGTACGGACTCGCTAAGATTTTTGTTTATGTTGCTCTTACAACCATGCCTGTGGCATTCCTAGCTGCTATACGTTTGGTTATCAGCAATAACACTTTGCTTGCAGATGTCATTAGTGTCATTGGATTCATCTCCATTTTCTTCATCATATTTGTTCGCATCTTAGGAAGGTTTCCTTTTGGATGTCGTCTTCCCATTGTTCGTCAACTTGGAGATTTCTTTATATGGATTATTCTTATTTCATTTTATGGTAGCAATGACATTTTTGTTGAAGAAGATGTTGAAAGTGATCGAGAGTCTCAAGATGATGAAGCCAACCAAATCAATCCAGTCCGTAAATATTATTCCCTACTCTCTCGTTTTGTTGCTTTCCATCTTCCTCGCTTCGGTTTGCCTCTATCTGCTGTGCGCATGTAGGAGCCTCTGATGAAGGGTGACAGCTGTTTTGATTTGTTACTTTCGTTACTGTTTTGTTAGTGGGACTACAATAATGGTTGTAAAGCCAAATTAATTGTGTGTTTGTTTTCAGGCTACATTTTACAAAAGTCCATTTGAAAATCCAACTATCTATTAAATTTAGTAAAAGTATATCTCAAATGTAATTTGAAGGTGTTTTAATTTTTATGGTTATCCAAACAAGCTTTAAGTCTTTTTTACCATTTCAAAATATTTTTATCCTCAAAATGGCCTAAATATTAAATTTTAAGTAAAATACACCTTTCTCTCTTAAACTTTATATAAAGTTTTATTTTTATCATTTAAATTCATAAAGTATCTTTTCAATCCTTTAACCCTAACACTGTTAATTTCGTTACAACAAAATTTTAAATTAAACTTAAGATTGTTAATAAAATATTTTCAAATATTGACATATTAAGTTTAATTTTTTTGAAAATGATAATGATTGAAATAAAAAATAATCATTTAAAACTAATATCATTAGGATTAAAAAACTGAAAAAATACTTTATAAAATTAAGAAACTAAATTAAAATTTTATATAAAATTAGAGGACTAAAAGTATAATTTTGTCAAAAAGTTATCATCTATATTCAATGCATGGTGCCAGAAAACAAAATAGAGAGAATGATAATAAAATTCCAAAATAGAGAATTAAAACCATTAGGTCCTCAATAAAATTTTTTGAAAAATAAACTGTAAATATTGATTTAGACAATTTTAAATTTAGGAGCTCCAATTGCAAATAAAAGATCTAATTTTTAAAATAACTCTTAGTTTGTAATTGCAATTCTTGTTTGCAGAATCAATATTTGTAATTCATTCTTTAAAAGATTTTGTCAAGAACCTAATTGTCATTAATTTCTTATTTAATTACCTTTACTTGGTTAGTCTTTCTCTAATCTTTTAGCCTGTCCTTATTTAATTTCGGTATTCTTTCATTTGTAAACTAAACAACTAATCACTCCCAATGTTTCATAAATTTTATTCACTAATAATTACATTTAAAAGGCAGTCATCTTGGTGCTATTTACAATAAATTGGGTTCATTTTTAAAAGAAATTGAGGAAATTACTAATTGATAGTGATCAATTTTGAGTTGGATTTTGGGCCAAGTTCATGTTCAAGGCCTGACCAAGTCCAAAAGAATGGATTTGGTAAGAAATAATGTATAGATGCCTTCTCTCTAGCAAAGAAAGATTCACTGTAGTGTAAATTTTTGGCATAACACAAAGTTTTGAAATCCAAACCAATTTAAGGGTTTGAAAATATTTAGTTTGGACATCTACCAATTTCTACAACAAGAAGTCATCGCTAGAGGGAAAATGATGTCAAAGAAAAGTTGAAGAAGCTTGGGAGATTAATTAAAATTTAAGAGTTTGGCTTAAGATTGCTTTGATTAAGTTTTTTTTTTTTACATACTCCACTAGCTATCTCTTTATTTCAATGTATCTATTTCTTTAGTTTGTTGTTATTAGAGCCATATGTGAGTAATTTTTTCTTGACCTTGAGTAGCTATATATGAACTAATATAATTTATGAATTACGGCATGTTTGAACTAATTAGTTTTTTTTATTTACTCAATCTTTTTTACTTGTCTATGTAATCTTGGCCACTGTTAATTATGAAATTAGGGATTAGGTTTTGAATTGGAAAAGGGACTCTTATTGGACATAGGATTAAGTAACATGAGATTGAAATTTATTCTAATTTAACATCAAGATAGGAATATATATATACATATACACACACACACACACACACTCTTGAACCCATGTAAACATATTAGAGTGCTTTGACTGCCTCTTGAGTAATTTTGTTATAGGAATAGCATTTTTAACTTAAGAGAGGTAGATGTAAAATATCTGAAAAACATTTATTTCTTATAATACCCTAGATTAACAAATTAATATCATATACATTTATTTAAATAATTATATGTTTTATCAATTGAGAAAAGGAGATTAAACACTCTAAGTTGTCTTGAAGATTGTGGTTTGATTGCCACTAATTTTAAATGTGAAAGGGCCTTATGGGAACTAGGTGGCGTTATAGAAGAGGTCTAGATTGACATTACTTATCAACTAATAATATTATTTTTATGCAAACTCCGAAAATCACTCATCAAGATTTTATCATTAATCGAATAATTTTAATATTTTATTTTTAATTAATAATATGATTATCAATACATTCAATCTATATATACTCCTTAAAATATTCAATTTATGGCTTTAAATGTTGATATATGTTGATGAAATTTTGGGGAAAAAGTCTATGTATCCTCGCAAATATTGCTTTATGTGGAATTTCAAGTCTAGGGCCAAATAAACTCTAATTAGGCCTAAGACTTTGAAGATCCAATGAAGTATGCCCAAAAGAAGCAACCGCCGAAGGCACTGACAAAGGGACTTAGCTTCTCTCTCGACTATGCTGACTGGCTAGGTCCTCCCTCCTCTGCCCTTCCACTGAAATTAGGACATGAAATGAGTGGCCCAAATTAAATTTGCATAGGTAAGGTTTAAAATTGTTTTATTTTTATTTTATATTATGAAAATAAAAATTTATAAAAAAATATAAAATTTTTTTATTAAATCTTCACTATCTAAAATATATCTAGATAATTAATTTTAAAAATTATAATACATTTTTAATATTAAATTAAATTAAATTTAGACTGTTTACATTGGCGAGATAAATATATAAAAAATAAGTGCAAATGAATTGAATTGCACCAACAAGTAATGCTTTATCGCACTCATTAACTTTGATAAACTTGAACTGGTCAATGCAGGTACTATCATACTAGGTTCCTCAAACTAGCACCCAAATTTGAGGGACTTTTTTGTCTTTTTATTACATTAGCAAAATTTTAAGCTTTAACTTTTATGCTCACCTCCCACTCTATTACATTTATTATCACTTTAGCTAGTTCCACGTGGCAAATTGGAGGAAAATTCCATGCTTCCACCATAATGGATGTGATTAGTTAGGCATATGTTAAGAAATGATCTTATGTTTTGGGGGAAAAAGAAAATTGTCTTTCCTACTCTTTTTGTTTTTTATTGTCATAAAAATTATCACTTTTTACTTATATTTTTTTATAAATAAAATCAGTCATTTCAATAAAATTTATTAAATATTTTTTAAATCAGCCTCATAATTTATATTAATAAAAAATAATTAATGCATATTTATATTGATTAACATAGAATATGTTGGTTCAATATTTTTATTTTATAATTAACTAATTTTTTTAAACTATGTGATATAATTTTTTTCTCTCAACATATAGGTGTATAGAATAGTTGGATTTGGTTTGGATATACTGCTATGATGAAATCTGGGTCATTCAAAACTAATTTTAATTGTTCAAATTAGAATTTTTTACCTTGTAATTTTTTATATAAAAAATTATTTTTTCTAGAGTGAAAATTATAACACTATTTTTATTTTAAATTATGTATTTATTAAAAGTATAAAAACAAAATCTCATCAGACCATCCAAATTGGTGTGCCGAAAGGCGAAACTGGATCCGAAGGTGGACAATTTCCTAAGGAATCTTCCTCTATTTATAAATACCCATCTTCCATGATCATGGTGATGTTATGAATTTAACTAACATTTTAATATATATGTCAAGAGGCTTTGCTGCAATTTAAAACAACACAATATATAATCTCGAGCACACAGGTAATAATTCTTTATCAGAAGTGTTTTATCATGTATTAAAGTCTTTTTCTTATTTTCGTTACTACATTTTCCCAACACAATTGATATATACTCTTGAAACTGTGAAATATGAAGCTTAAACAAACACATAGGGTTTGCCTAACTTTTTTTTTTTTTGGTTTTTATTTGCTTACAGGTATCTTTTAATTAGAAAAATTCTTATTCGAGTCCATGATTGAATATTCTCCTTCATTCACCATATTATGAGAGATTAGTTTTTTTTTTTTTTTTTGCTAAACTCAATCTATGTTGGTGTCTTGGAGATAAATTAAAGTTTTTGAGTTCAAAATGACTCAACCCATATTGTCAGGGCCTATTGAGTAAAGGGAAACGCACAGGGCCAACACATCGGTTCTAACTTCTGAATCCTATAACAAGACTTTGTACTAAGTGGCTTTCAATATATCATAACTTGTAAAACCCTCATTTTTTAATAAAATATAAATTTATCAACTATCTATCATTTAATTAAATATGGGATCCCAAAATTTTTAAACCAACATCGGCCCACAACCATAAAACAGAATTGTATTATCGGTAAGCCCCAAAAATAAAAACCAAATCTTTCTAAATAATATTTTATATAAAATGGGGCTAGCCTAATTTCACATACATACAGGCTAAAATCATTTCTCTAAATTATCAGCATACTGAAAAATCATTATTTCAAATTCAATCTAAGTCATGTCAAAATAATAAAACAAATGACCCATGCCAAACCAAAGAATAGTCAAAGCCCACAAGATGAACTCTTCAATGCTTTCCATTGTAACCTATCGAAACCCTCACATGAAAAATATAAGAAGTAACAAATGAAATATACTATCACACCCTAATTTTAAGGGTACGATTAATATGAAATATGAGATAACCTTATATTTTATAAGCCTTAATTAACCAAACATTAAGCTAAATTATCAATATATAATTTTTATATGTTTATAAGGTTCATAAAGTCTTAAGTGTTTGTAGAAATTTCGGAAAAACCTCCCCTATAATTTAAACCTCTCAAAATTCCTACAATAACAAAACCAGCCAATCAATCTAGTAAAGGAGATTAGCTCCACAGCAGCAGATTACATATCAGCAAAATAAAACTAAGACCTAATTACGGCATACGTGGAGCACTAACTATCATTACATAATACAATGACTATTTACATTAAAATAAACAATTGAAGTGTGCTTCCATCGTCCAAAAACTAATAAAGCCCCTCAATGATCAATAAGAGGTGCAGGATCAATTATATTATCTGACAGTATATCTCATTTTAGCAGGACTT